TCTGACTCCTATATATGAAGACAATACTGCATGCATTGCTCAAGTGAAAGGAGGTTACATCAAAGGAGACCGAACAAAGCATATATCACCAAAGTTCTTCTCAACACATGATCTCGAGAAAGATGGAAAGGTTGACATCAAGCAAATCAAGTCCAGTGAAAATCTTGCTGATTTATTTACAAAAGCGTTGCCCCCGAAGAAATTTGAAGAACTCGTACACAAGATTGGCATGCGTCGCCTCCGTCAATTATGCTAAGCTGAGGGGGAGAATTTTATGAACTGTACTCTTTTTCCCTTGATCAGGTTTTTATCCCACTGGGTTTTTCCTGACAAGGTTTTTAACGAGGCAGTACATAAAATTAGAATGGGTTACTAAACTATGTCCATTTACGAAGTACCCATCATTAATTGAAAAATGAACATTCAAGGGGGAGTGTTATGAAATTAATGATTGTTCATTTATTCAATTAATCAAGCCTAATTTCTAGAATAGTAGATTAAGACACTCATTGATGAGTATCAATTTAGTACAGTCCTTCCCACTTGTATTTATATTCATACTAAGTCTCTCCACTATAAATAGAGGCTTAATCCCTGCATTGTAATCACAATTAAGAATAAGAAGAAGAGTGAGAAGTTAATAGAGAGAAGAAATCAGAAATATATTATATCTATTCTCATAATATCTGAATAGTTTTTCTCTCATTTTATAATAAATACCATGTTTTTTCCCAACAATTTATTGTTAAACATGCATTGTGGGTATTTAGACAGGTTTTTTCTTCTTTTTTTGTTTTTTAAAAAGGAACAATTATGGATATATTTTGGTTTTTTAATTTTATTATTTATAATAAGTCCAAGAAGGGTTTTGGGACTTTTGCATCTTTTTCCTTTTGGAAAATGATTGCCCTTTTTGAATCTTTATCCAACTGCCAAAGTTTTAAAAAAACAGCCTTTCATAAATATTCCATTTCCATTGTGTACTTAAAACATTCATACAAACTAACAATAATTGGAGAAATAATACACCTTCCCTTTACATATACTCCTAGGAATCTTTTTACACCCTAATTTTGACTGTAATCTTGTTAGAATATAAAATTTGTTTTTAGCTTATAACTTTTGTTTGAACTGGTTTCTTGATAGATTAAGAGATCTTTGTTGATAAGTCACGAGTTTGAACACTAGCATCACCTAATTTTAAAAAAGTTATTGTTCGCATGCATGCAAGATTTGAAACAAAAAAATATCGCATTCTCACCTGCACACGAGGAGGATTGTTAGAATATAAAAATTTGTTTGAGCCTACAACCACAAACTTGAGATTTTTCTGAAATGTGATAATTGAAGTGAGGTCAAAGACTACTTAAACTTTCGTCAATTAATAATGTAGATATAATTTATGTCTATTTTCTTTCATTTTTATTTAATAAAAAATGATGATTAGTAAAAAAGCAATATATCAAAACAGAGAAGGGAAAGATAGCTCTGGGAGAAAAGTCTATGAGCAAGGTATCTTAGAATAGCTAGATCATATGATAGTAGGATTAGCAATGAGCAACTGATGAGGCCTTAGGTGTAAACACATGATATCCAGTAATCCATTATTAGCTTTGATGTTTAGCAATGAGGAAAGGAGGTCCGAGCGAGGTGCAAACACCCGAGGTATGGATACCCGTGACCCCTTGACCCATGTTGTAAAACGCAAGCAATGAGGCAAGGAGGCTCGGGACCCCCCCGACCCGTTAGCTTTGTTTAATAAATAAAAACATTGATGAGGTTGTGAAGAGGCTAGGTATAGAGACTCGAAATCCCTCGACCTAGTAGCTTTGTTGAACATCGAAATCTATCAAGGAAGAGAGACCGATCATAGAACTAACGTCTGGGACCACTTCACATGTAATTGAAGAACAGAAAGTAAAAGATACGAGATCTGCACCAGAGTCTTCGTGTTCCATGTTCAGAGCTTACACTAGCTAGCGGAGGCTTCAGAGACACCGAAGAAAGAGAATGGAAAATTGAAGAATTATGATGGGAGGTAGACATTGACAGAATATATTTCTGAGTCACCGCTTCATGTTAACTAAAAAAACTAGAGAGCTTGTGATGAATTAATAATCCTCTAGACCCACGGAGATTGGACCCGATCTAAGAAGCAATCCCATAAAAGAGGCACATTAGTAAACCTTAACACTAGGGTTTCTTGTTCATCAATAAAAGGGGATTTAGAATACTATTCGTCTCTCAACGTAGAAAACTACTTCTTCCGTCCCGTAAAAGTTTTCCGGTTTTGACTTTTGGATGATTTAATTACGTAAGAGAGGTGTATCTTTGTGTTTGACCTTCCACAAATGCCCTTAGTTTTTTTTTAAAGTGATACTTATATTAATGAATAATTAAGAATAATGATAATGATTAATTACAAAACAAAAAAAGTAAGGTGAGATGTGACTGATAGAATGTGAGAAAGTATAACAAAGTTAAAGAAGAGTATTTTAGTCTATTTTCTATGAATTGAAATGTTTTAAGGGACGGGTATGATGAGAAATTTGAAATATTTTGTGGGACGGAAAGAATATTACTCTTTCTCTCTTTGTACTAATCTATTCGTCTCCTTTTACATAAAGCTTCAAACTTCATCAATTACCATCCAACTATGAATTAAATTAAAATATATACCTCCCTTGGCATGATCGATACTGCTAAAAGAGATTCGTAATTTTTACCGATTTTGTTTGCACATAAACGTCAATGTGTTCATACTGTTTATTACATTTATTATACTGGACTATTAAAATCAATCAGGTGGGGAGAATGATGTTTACCCATAAAATAATGAACTAAACTACTTTGCCTTCGTGAGTAATCCCTGTGTTTTTCACAGACCAATCATGTTTTATATACTAGTAAAAGTCAAATTTAATTATTACACAAACAGGTTTTGTCTTTAAATTTGATCCATTTTGGTGCACCTAAAACCTAGAAGTATATATAAATAAAATTTTATTTTCACAAACACATACATATAAGTACTGTTTATGCTTTTAATTTATTTAGAAATTACTGTTGATATTAGTATATGTATGTGAGAAAAGATCGAACAATCATCACATATTCACATTATTTGCTAAAGTGGATTTAATTTCAATTACCTCCTAATATAATGGGTTTTGAATGAGATTATGAGAACATTTTCTTCTCGTGCATTTCCAGATCATTCTTTGACCGGGAAGCTCCCCCTAATCATCCTTTAGTTTTGATTTTTTGAAAAGGTTATCTAATGAAAATGTTTGATTTTAATATTTTTAAAATTAATTTGCAACCTTAGCTTAATAAATAAATCAAACGTTTGACGTTCCATTTTTTACGTGTATCCAAAATGCTATTTCCAAACATTAGATTAAAATACTATTGTTTTCAAGGTTAGTTATATCTTGATTGATAAAAAATAAATTAATGTTCCAAAAACTTAGGTTCAAATATATGAAACTTATATCAAAATAAGACTTTTTAGGTTTTTATCCTCTACATAGGAGCATTGACACTACGTGATGTTGCTATTTCATAGGGAGTATTTGTTTTAGAAATAACCCTAAATAGGACTAAGATGGTGTTTGGGATTGCATTTGAAAATAACTTATAATTTCTACTTTACTAAAACACAATTTTAAATGTTTGCTAATCTGCTTTAGCTTGTAAGTTATGGTTTTAGAAGTTAAAATCAAGGTCTAGAAGTGCTTTCTAGCAAAACTAAAAATACATGCTTTCTGCTTCTAAATTATAACTTCTACTTATACATAACTCACCACACTCCCAAACACCCTCTAAAATATTGAAAAAAAGTACCAAAATAAGACTTTCATGTTTTTTCCCGAAATAGGACTTTAAACTGTGATGATGTGGTGCTGTGCATATGCACATTACTATACTTTTTTGATGTACATGACTACGTTTGGTAATGTAAGTCCTATTTCGAGAATAAAAACATGTATGGAAGTCCTATTTTGGTATATATTCAATGTTTTAGTCCTACTTTGGTCTTTCTCCCTAGTAGTTTTGGTATTATATTTTGAAATTATTTGGTATTACAAGTCCTATGTATTTTGATATAAAAATATTAAAGAGTCTATTTAAATACTCCCTATATTATTAAACATGTTTTGTTCTAATTCTAGTCAGATATATTTTCCTTTATTATATGTTTTATTCGTTTGAAAATTTACTTAAATAGCATTAAAACATAATGACTTTCTTTAAATAGCACCACATGTGTTTTTCTTCCCAATGTAGCACTTTTAGTCATTATGCATTAGTCATTATTCAAGTAAATATTCGCCATCACTGGACATTATGGACATTATTAAGTGCTATTTAGAGAATAAAACAGTTTAAGTGCTATTTAGGAAAATAACTTAAGTTTTAATGCTATTTAGTGCAAATATTTCTTTTAAAGATTGGTATAGAAATAAAAACATAAAATTTCAAATTAAAAAAATTCAAAAATTCTAATAAATAAGAGGTATCAAAAACATTTTATTTTATCAAATATTTGAGACAGAGAAATATTGATTTTGCAAAAAAAAGTTCAAAAACAGTCCAAATGACGACATTCAAAACATCACGTTGCAAAACATATTTATAATAGGGAGTAGTGTGTATATTTGTATCCCCACAAAGCAACACAATAATTTACATGAAGAAAGAATCTAAACTAAAGAGAATAAATTTTTAGACATCCCGCAGCTTTTTTGTTACACACTTCTTTAGCTTCTTCTTCTTCTTCTACAACTATAAAAAGAAGCCAGTTTTATGCCCAAATTGCCCCCTCTCTCTCTCTCTAAAACCACCATATCCTACTAAAAAAAGAGATTATTTTATTATTATAATTTATATAATATTGGATTTTTTTTTCTAGGAAAAAAAAGCCAAACCCAAACTCCAACAATATCTTCATCGTACGTAAGACAAATCTCTGCCGGTTCTTCTCGGAAACAGTCGGAATATAATCTCTTCTCTTTTCCTTTAGATTCTTCAGGTTTCTGAAATCCTATCATATTCTTGTTTAGTGATTATTATTAATTATTTACACATTAATATTCTTTAACATATATTTCCTCTGCTCCACAAAACATTTCTTGTTTTATTTCCTAAGAGATTTAATAGGAGTGTATTTTGGTGTTGATTTTTCAAAAATATCCTTGGATATGATAGGTAAAAGTAGATGTGATGGGTAGATTAGTAGTGAAAAAGTATGATGTGATCGATAAGGGTAAAAGTGACTTTTTAATAGAAATGAGAAAATTTTTTAAAACGGAGGGAGTATTACATCTATATATACTCTCTATGTCCCGAAATTTTCTTGTGATTTTTGTTTTAACTTATTTAATGATTTTCTAGGTTTTTTTTTGATATATTAAGGTTTGGGATGCATAGGTTTCGAAGCTTTTATGAGGTTGGGAACTGCTCGGATTCGTACAACTTTGTTCAAGGAAAAATGTGGTTGAATAATAATAATGGTGGCGGCCGCGGCCGCCGCATGGATGGGGGAGATGAAAATGATGAGAGTGCTTGCGCGGTGGGTCCGGCAACTGCGGCGGCGGAGGCGAAGGCGGTGGCGGCAAACAAGAGCCACAGCGAGGCGGAGAGGCGGCGGAGGAAGCGAATCAACGGCCACCTCGCCACCCTCCGTACCCTCCTCCCCACCACTATCAAAGTAAGATCATCACATCCCATCTAAATATTTACTCCTTTCCCTCCCGCTAAATTTTGTCGCCTTTTAGTTTATGAAATTTATTTAAATATTAGTGTCAAGTTTATCAAATGTTGTAGGAAGTACTCCGTACAAAATAAGAAGTTACAAAAATACGGAGTATAATTTTGAAAATGTTTATGTAAATACTTTAAACATTTCGAGTTTCCACCATTATCAAATGTTCTAGGAAGTACTTCCTCCGTCCCTGAAAATCTTTTGGAATTCAATACCAAAATACACTCCCCTTAAATCCCTCTTCAAAATCAAAACTCTCATATTTTCCGGGATAGAGGGAGTATAAAATAAGAAGTTACTCATAGTAATTCTTACTCTACGTATAATGTTATATGCATTCATTATTAATCTAGTTTTCACACCAATCCTACTCTAATCAATCACATCAAGGATATCTTAAGAAAGTCAATACAAAAATATCTCTTTCTTAAATTTATTAAATACTACCTCCGTCCCAGAGTATTTGTCCACTTTCATTTTTACACACCATCCAATACACTTTTTAATCAATTTTATCTTGTAATTTGTATATTAAAAAATTATAGGAATTATATATTAATAATCTATATGTTAAGACAAATCAAACAAGATCACACATGACTATATTTCAGTTTTTTTTCCCAGTTTTTCTAATGTAATCTAACTTCAAATTTCTTTTGATTCCTTCTAGCATCTCCTAATTCTTTTAGTTTTTTTCCATCTATTTCCAATAGTGACATAAAAATTACTTCGTATTTACTTGAAACATTTATCCTACAAATCATATCATGCCTTCGCAAGGTCAAAATTAAAAAACAATATGAAAGTTACACATTTTTAGGGTGTTCTTTTTCCGTCTTTGAAAAGTTTTACGGGACAGATAAAGTATTTAGTACTGGTAATAATAATAATAATAATAATAATAATAATAATAATAATAATAATAATAATAATAACAATAATAATAATAATAATTGTTGTTGTTGTGATTATTATGGTTGTTATTGTTATTATAATTAATATTAATATTATTATTATTATTCATTTTAATTTAGATTTTACAAGGGAGCGAAATTTTATGGTTTGTGAAAGTTATGATATATGGTCTTTTTTGTCTCTTCAAAGATTAAAAAACACGCATTAAAAATGTGTAAATTTCAAAAGTTGGGGTATAAAAGGGGCAGCTTGTAAAACAGAGCATGGTTGTGTGCTTAACTTCATTGACTTGAGAGCATATTTGTAGCTTAATTGGTGGGTGCAAAAGTTGATAATACCCGAATTAGACTAGCAACGACGATGAAGGACAACCATGCATATATAACATGATTGAATTGGGTCCTAGCACGCACTGAAGTTATATCTACTTGCAGTAATTTTTTATTGATCAATCTAAGATTAAATCTTAATTTACCTTTTTTCAGTTTACAGTTCTGTGCACGTCTCGAAAGTAGAAACTCTAGGCCCACACTCATCTTTTTTTTTTTTGCTATACTTATAATTTATAAATTGAGTAGATTCAATCATGATTCATGACTAAGCTAAAGTAGTTTCATTTTACCCTCCAGATTTACCCTAATTATACTTTCTCCATCTAAGTGGATCGGTCCAATATAATGATGGAGTCTTGGCATGGCTAATTGTTTTAATCCACCTTTTAAGTAAATTATTAACATTATCATTATTAAAGAGAGATTTGATATTTTGATGTTTAATGTCACATGATGCATGACGTGTGCCACGTACTCATTTCAGACCGACAAGGCCTCGTTACTAACGGAGGCGGTGAGGTGCGTTAGGGAGCTAAAGAAGGCAACCGCCGAGCTGGCGGCGGCGATGTCGCCGGAAACCACCGCGGACGGCGTCGAAGCACCCCCATCATTCAACACGTTCCCTAGCGAGATTGACGAGCTGAAGCTGAGTTATACCGGGGAAGACGATGACTCCGGCGCCGGCAACGTGAGGGCGGCGATCTGTTGCGAAGATAGGCCGGAGATCATGCCGGAGCTTGCGAGGGCTCTGAAGTCGGTGGAGGGGACGGTGGTGCGGGCGGAGATGTCGACGGTCGGCGGGAGGATTAGAATTGCCCTTTGGCTGCGCGTTGAGGGTTTGGGTAAAGGAGGAGATGAGGCGGCGCTGGCGGCGGTAAAATTAGCGCTGAAGGAGGTGGTGGACAGACCCACTGCCGTGGTCGGCTCCGGCAACCACTTGCCCGGTGGGCCCGGAAACAAACGACCACGTCTCTTGATGTAGCATTTGGGATGTCATTATTTTATGATATTTCTCCATAATGTTTATTTATTTACTCATACATGTTCTAATTGGTGGTTAGATATAATAAATTACTCCGTATTTTTTAAACTTTTTATTTTATAGGAGTAGATTTTTTCAGAAATTTGAAAATTGAGAAGTTATATTTTTTATTTCTATATATGTCAATTTATAACTTAATTAAATTTACGTAGTACTCCGTAATAAATATGGAATTTTCCACATTGTTGTAATTGGAGTCAAAGGGAGTAATACTATTTACACGTAAAATTCTATACTTGTGCCGTTGTAGATTATTTATCTAGTTTAATTTTCTAGTGGAAGAAAAGATTAACTTTAATATAGTTTGCATTGCATATTAATAGAATGAAATAAATTTCCAAAATAATTCTACAAGATCAATCTAATAAAATTATTTTTCTGTCAATTTGTAATACTAAGACATAGTGACTTCTTCAAGTGAAATTTGCACTAAATAAGACTAAAACATAATGACTTTCCTAATGTATGACTTAAACTTTTTTATTCCCTAAATAGGACTTAATAATGACCTCGTGGAGGAATAATGTCCAGTAATGCTAGACATTTACTTGAATAATGACTACTTTTAATGACCAAAAGTCCTACATTGGGAAATAAAAACATATGGTCCTATATTGGGAAAGTCGTTATGTTTTAGTCCTATTTAGGTAAATTTCTTCTTTTTCAATGTAGTATCATATGTTTTTATATCCTAATGTAGTACCATTGTTCCATATGTTTAAATAAATTAAATATCCAACGTCGTTGGATATTGTTTTCGTTGGACATTGTTCAAACTAAATGTGCACCATCACTGGACATTGTTTCCGTCACTAGACATTATTCAAGTACTATTTAGAGAATAAAAAAGTTTAAGTACTACATTGGAATATGACATGTGTTTTAGTACTATTTATTACTCCATCCGTCCTAAAATGTTCTTCCCGGTTACTTTTCACACGGTCAAACTTTAATCACTTTTTTTTTACCTATTTTCATTAGGTATTTGATACTCCCTCCGTCCTATAATGATCTTTCCGGTTCGCAAAACGAAGAAAAATCCCAAGTTTTTTCAATCTATTTTATTTAAATATTGGTATAGAAATAAAAAATAAAACATACATATTTAAAAACTACAACAAAAGTTCAACAAAACAAGTGGTGACAAGAATATTTTATTTTATCATATAGGCCATGAAAAAACACAAATAAATATAAATTCCCGTGAAGTTGGAATAGTGCTCTGGGAAGATCATTATAGGACGGAGGGAGTAAAATAATACTACCTCCGTCCCAAAAAGATTTACACGTTTTGACTAAAATTGAAATTAAGGGAGGGATAATTTTGTGTTGACTTTCCAAAAATACCCTTGATGTGATGGGTAAAAGTAGGATATGATGTGTAGATTATTAGGAAAAAGGTATGATGTGATAGGTAGGATTTGAAAACGTAAGTGGTAAAAGTGGTTTTTTAATAGAAATGGGTAGGAGATTGTGGGACGCAATTTTTTTGAAAGGTGTAAATCTTTTTGGGACGGAGGGAGTATGTAGTATTTGTCACCACTCGTTTTGTAGAACATTTGATGTAGTTTTTAAATATATAAATTTTATTTTTTAATTTTACACCTACAATCAAATAAATTGAATTGAAAATAAAGTCGGTCAAACCTCGTAAACACAAACGAGAAGAACATTATAGGACGGAGGAAGTACAAATTTACTACTGTAAGTCTGTAACACTTTTCGCCAAATGGCACCAAATAAGTTTTTTCTCCAAAACTAGTATTTATTTATTTAATTAATTATAAATAATATATCTTTACAAAAACACCATTGTATCTTAATTATTTTAAACTCTGTATAAAATATAGACTATATATTTTTCTTGCCTTTGGTTGATTCCCTCTTTTCTTGATATGTCTACTTATATTTTCTTTTTGATAGACATTGTAAAAATTATTGACCTTGTTTATTAATCCGGAACATTGTAAAAAGTATAGACATTATTTACTGATCGGGGATATTGATGGCAAATACAGTGAACATTTATAATAATTGCGACAATGTCTTTTTTTCAAAGGACAATGTCTTATCAATGGACATGTACATATTAACAACGATATTAAATACCAGTATTAGTAGAGTGGAAATATGAAAGTCATTAAATCATGCATAATGGAATAAATGGAGTGGCGGCGGTACACTAATGTCTGCAGTTTGTGATCGACGGCCGGTGAAGGACATTAGGACGTGGTGGGACACTAAATATAAAAGTATATAAAGGACATTCTAGTACACTAGAATTAATAATTAATTATTAATTAGTTAATTAATTAGATACTAGTTATGGAAATTAAAACTTGTGCTATATAGGGAAATCCAATATGTTTAACTGCTATCTAATCTTTCTCTTTTTGACTTGTATGGAATTTAAGAAAGTGATATTTTTATTTTGACTTGTTTTAAAATACTCTTACACGAATTGCAGAGTATTATATAAAAAGACATTACCTAGCCTTTACTTTTTTTTAAATATGACTATTGCCTTACTTTTTTAATTTAGTTTTGTTAGATACTCATTATTTATCTTTGATAGTAATAAAAATAATACATATAGCAAATTGAAAAAATATGATGGCATATGAAAAATGATATTGAAAATTAAATGGAAGAGTGAAAAAGCATAAGTATAATATCTAATAATATAATATAAAATATTATTCTTTTGATTATATATCTAACTGAGCCATTGACCCTCGAATTGACAAGTTAAATCTGACCCACTAGGTCGTCAGATTCGACGTCTGATCCAATTTTCAAGACATTAGTTTGGGAAGCTAAGTATAAATAAACCTTTTACTATAATTTTGTATGTGATTTTTTTTAGTTTGTTACATAGTATTATTCTATTATGTTAATTGTTATTTAAATATAATTAGCTTATACACTTTAATTCATTAAGATATTAAGATTAAGACCTTTAGGGCCGAGTACATATAGCATACATCCAGATATACGGTATTTCCCGCATATCTGCATGAATGGTCATTTTTGAGTAACTGAATATTCATTTTGAGTATAAGAGTACTTATTTTCAAGTAACTGAATACTCATTTTCGAGAATAATTGAATTTTATAAAAATGAGTATATAGTTACTCGAAAATAAGTATTCAGTTATTTGTAAATGAATGCTCGTTGTGGATGTACTGGAAATACCGTACAACCGATTGTACAATATATATTACATTTAGGGCTTCTTTTCCTGTCTCGGCCCAGACCATCAAGTTCTCATGCCAGACCAGTTCTTTCATATATAGAAAGGGAATTTACTTAAATAGAATTAAAATATAATGACTTTCCCTAAATAGCATCACTGCGTTTTTTTCCCAATGTAGCACTTTTAGTCATTATGGACGTTATTAAGTATTGTTTAGGGATTAAAATAATTTAAGTGCTATTTAGAAAAATGACTTAAGTTTAGTGGTATTTAGTGCAAATATTTCTATATAGAATCCAAAAGCACTTCACGTACTACCTTTATTTAATTATTATGGGGTATATTATACATTCGGTTTGACAAGAGATGATAAATACGTAGTACATATTATTGGACTTATGTTGCATGGTGCATATATATATTTATATATATATATAATTTTTTGTATGTATATATGTCTCTAAGGCTTGGCCTCATTAATGCCGCGGAGGGTTTGTTGAATGTAAGCCAGAGCTTCTTCAGCGGTGCCGCAGCATCTACTGCAATGCCCACCGTAGTACCCGCCGCAGCAGTGTCTGCAATGCCCACCATAACCGCCGTGGCCTCCACCACCGCCGTAACTCCCGCCTCCACCGCCGTAATGGCCGCCTCCACCGCCATAACTCCCGCCTCCACCGCCGTAATGGCCGCCTCCGCCGCCGTAATAGCCGCCTCCATGTCCTAACACTTTTGCTGCACATGTAAACACATTTCGATGGTGGGAGGGGGTAGGCACAAACATAGTATTCAAGTAGATTTACAGTCAAAGTTTGTAAATTTGATCTTAAAAAAGTCAAACAATGAAACTTTTAAAAGACACAAGAGGATAATTTACTACGTTAGAAAATGACTTATATTTTAGTCCTATTCAGTGCAAATTTCACATAAAAAAATTGATCATAAAATAAATAAAAGTTGTATGAGATAATTGTACCAAAATCATTCATTATATATTTATCTTGTTCTAAACTATTACAAACGTTCTTTTAAAACGAAACCCTAATGCCATTTGTGGAAGCTCTCTTAAATCAGCCAAAAATCATAACCAGAAAACTTTTACGGGACGAAGTGAGTATTATATTTCATTGTATTACGGAGTAATATATAATGAAAACTTATATTTCCTCCGTCCTAAAACGTTTTTCCCATTTCTCTTTACGAAATTTGACCGACGTTATTTTCAATTCAATTTATTTGATTGTAGGTGTAAAATTTAAAAATAAAACATATAAATTTAAAAAATACACCAAAAGTTCTGCAAAACAAGAAGTGACAAGACTATATATTATTTTATCAAATAACTAACAAAAATATGTAAATAAAGTGACTAAAGTTTGACCGTGTAAATAGTAACTGAGAATAACATTTTAGGGCGGAGGGAGTATATACTCCATCAATCTCATATCTCTCTTCCAAGTTTGATTTTGGTAGTCAATATTTTTAAACTTTGACCACATATTGCGGAAAAAATAAATTGAATTGTCATATAAATTTAATATCAATAGAGACAAGTTAAGACGTAGTTCTAAAATATCATATTTATATATATTCTACTTTGTATATGTTTATATATAATTAATGATATTACATAGTAAAAGATAGTCAAAGTGTTGCATTAGAATTTGTAAAAATATAAATGAGAAAAAAACATGAAACAGAGGCAGTTCTAAATATAATTGATGATTTAATTTCGTTTAATTTAATTTAATTCAAAAAATCAAACGGAACGAATACTAGAAAGTACTGAAATAATTACCCTTTCCTTCATCATCTTTGGAGGTCTCATCAGCCCCAAGGGCCAAAGAAG